AGACAGGGTGAGCTCCTGTCTCTAGTTCCAGCTCCTGCCAACCTAGCAGTTCGAAAGCAAGAAATTGCAAGTAGATAAATAGGGACCACTTCGGTGGGAAGGTAACAGCGTTCCGTGCGCCTCGGTGTTTAGTCATGCCGGCCACATGACCACGGAAACGTCTTCGGACAGCGCTGGCTCTTTGGCTTTGAAACGGAGATGAGCACCGCAACCCTAGAGTCGGATTCGACTGGCTTTCGAGCAAGGGAACCTTTACCTTTACCTTTTTACAGTCGTCAAGAGATCACAGGCCGTGCAGAAAAAGGGTCTAATACTAATAGACTGCAAAAGGATATTACATCCAGATCCAATAGCAATGTATTAGGAGACAGGGATGGAAGAGAGCAACAAATCAGGATAAAGTTTCTTTTAACAAATTCAATGACTTTAGGAGTTGGAAGAGGGCAAAAAAATCAGGACCGAGTTTCCTTTTACATATGTAAAGATTTTAGGAGCTTCCTTTAGCCTCTATTTAGTTCACAGGTCTCTGACCTTTTTGAGCCTGTGGGCACCTTGGGACACGACCCAATGTGGAGGGCCCAGTCACAAAATGGCTGCCACAGGAAGTGGACCCAGCCACATAATTGCTGCCACAGCTTACCTTCAGTCACACAGTGAAGATCCTTGTGCTGTGGTGGCAGATGCTGCCAAAGCAATGTTTATCAAAAATCTGCAACGCCAATCAAATCTCCAAAATCGGATCTCCAGCAGCGAATCAGAAGCCTTGCTGGGCAAAAGCCCCACCTGGCCCCTACCCATTTTCTAAAAACACCTGGCAGTCACGAGGAAAGGTGTCAGCAGGTGCCACGGTACCCACGGTTACCATATTGGGGACCAGTGCTCCCTCTAAGCTGTGGAGTCTTGTGAGCGAAAGTTCTACTTTGTGAGCTACTGGAATTAAAGTTGTGAGTGAGCAATTTGACTACTGCATACGTTAGTTTGCTCTGGAGCCATTCTTCCTGAGCTAAGACAAAAATGTGTGAGCTGGAGGCTAAAAAACAGTGAGCTAGCTCACACTAACTCAGCTTAGAGGGAACACTGTTGGGGACCCCTAATTTGGACAAACAAACCTCCCAAATGATCAAGGGAGAGGGCGCTAGATCCACAGCCAAGACTGGCTCAGATCCAATAGCAAACCGTGGTTTGGCACTCTAGGAACAAGCGTGGAAGGAGCCTGGGTTGTGATCCCTTCCTCTGGGCACAGGGAGGTTAATGGCTGCATTCAGACATCTCAGCCACTGTTCAGGACAGGCACAGATGCAGCCTGTTTGCTGTGCCTGCAAATGCACTTCTCTTAGGGATGCCAGCCTCCAGGTGGTGCCTGGAGATACCCAGGTATTACAGCTCGTCTCCAGACTACAGAGACCAGTTCCCCTGGAGAAAAAAAGGATGCTTTGGAGGGTGGCATTGCACCCCGCTGAGGTCCCTGTCCTCCCCAGGCTCCACCCCCAAATCTCTAGGTATCTGCCAACCCTCTGGAATTTTGCCATAACCTGGTGGCCTCAGCCACAAAATGGCTGCTGCAGTTTATCTTCAGTCACACAGTGAAGATCCTTGTGCTGTGGTGGCAGCTGCCGCCGAAGGAATGTTTTTCAAAAACCTGCACAGCCAATCAATTCTCCAACGGCCAATGTTGTTCTATCTCGGTGTCAATGGACTGACCAGCAAAGTCTCTCTGATAAGCCTTAAGGGCTAAGCAAGCTTATTTCAAAGGTACACAACATAGGCTCACCTCATTTTCCCGTCTCTCAGCGTCTGGTTGCCTCAGCAAGAAAGCCTCCGCCAGGGCCACGGCCTGAGAGCAGGTATCTGGGCCAAGCTCCCTGACCCAGCTCTGGACCTCCGGTGGCAGGATGGTCAGGAACTGCTCCAAGATCAGCAGCTCCAAGATCTGCTCTTTCGTGTTTCTCTCAACTCTCAGCCACTGACTGCAAAGTTCCTGGAGCCGGCTATAAGCCCCCCTTGGGCCCTCGGCCTCCTGATAGCGGAAACGTCTGAAGTGTTGTCGCCGCTTCTCCCCAGTGATGGAAACCCTTCTCAAGATGGCCATCTTCACTTTCCCATAATCCTCTCTGTCTCTGGCCTCAAGCCTGTTAAAAGCCTGCTCAGCTTCTCCACTGAGTGCCGGCAAAAGCTGGGCCACCCATTTTTCTTTGGGCCAGTGGCAAGCTTCGGCCACTTGCTCAAAGGAAGCCAGGAAGGCTTTAGTGTCATTCCATGGTGTAGGTTCCTCAGGCACCCGTGAGATTTCTACCTCTAAATGAGGGGAAGTAACTGTCTTTAGGTACACCTGCCTTTGGGCATCCCAGGGCTGGACCAAACAGTTTTCTGGTTCCTCCTTCACCCGATGCAGAGTTGCCCATCCATGGGACCTCCCAGTACTTCCCAACTGCATTGCTTGAGAGGGTTTACCTTCTCCCACCAAATCCATCCAGGGCTTGAGGCCTACGGCATCTTGAAGGCCATGAGGAGATTTTCTTTCTCCCTCCAATGCTTCCCGTTGCATACGGCCTGTGAGGATGTTTTCTTCCATTTTCATCCTTGACCTCAGAGAGATAATGCAGGGCTGTAGAAAATTCTAGAAGAAACAATGATGATGTAGATCGGTATGCTGCACTTCTACGGTGTGTGTGTGGGGAGGACACAGACAGAAAGCGTGAACACAATAGTTATTCTATTTGTAATCTCAGAGAAAAATCATCTCTATCTCTAGCCATATCTCATCAGTTCTCAGAAGTCCTTGGATGGAAGACCACCAGGGAAGTCCAGAGGTTCCCATCTAAGCACTGACCAGGGCTGATCTTGCTTATCAGCCAAGACCTGGCCAGACTGGGCTAGGCTGGGCAATCCAGGTCAGGAGACAGGTGACTGGGGCACCTCGATATCACCATCACCCTCTAGGGCAGGGGTGGCCAAACTTGCTCAGCGTAAGAGCCACATAGAATAAACGTCAGATGTTTGAGAGCCGCACAACAGGAACAAATATAACACGCATGTTTTTTTAATCTGCAAATTTGCTTTTTTATTAACATTAAATGAGACTGCCAAAATAAAAACAAAAGGGGTAAAAATAGATATTGATCATGATATTTATTTGTCCAATGATATTTATTTGTTTGCTAATGGTATTTATTTGTCTGAGAGAAAAAGAGAGAGGTGGAAAGAAAGAATGAAAGAGGTGAAAAGAAAAAGAGAGAGAGAGAAACAAAGAAAGCAAATAGATGAGGGAGGGGGAGAAAGGAAGGAAGAGAAAGAGAGAAAGGAAGGGAGAAAGAGAAAGGGGGATAGAATGAAAGAGGTGGAAAGTCTGAAGAGCCACACAGAATAAATGTCAGATGTTTGAGAGCCGCGAGACGTGAACAAATATGACATGTTTTTATTTTAAAATATGCAAATTTGCTTTGTGTTAACATGAAATGAGACTGCCAAAAATAAAAAGGGGTAAAAACAGATATTGATAATGATATTTGTTAGCTAATGATATTTATTTGTCTAAGAGAGAAAGAGAAAAAGAGAGAAGTGGAAAGAAAGAATGAAAGAAGTGGAAAGAGAGAGAGAGAAACAAAGAAAGCAGATGGGAGAGAGAGGAAAGGAAGGAAGAGAGGGAGGGAGGGAGAAAAAATATGCCTCCCCTTCGCTTCCACAGCTGCCCTGCTGGGAGCCACACAATATGTGTGAAAGAGCCACATGTGGCTCCCAAGCCACAGTTTGGCCACCCCTGCTCTATGGTATCATTTCCATTCCCTGTCACTGTCCATGGTATCACTTTAATGCCTTATTAGTTCCATATCAGAATGGTGGTCACAATCTCTCTTCTACCACATGAAAGGAGACACAGAAATAAGATGAACAATGTTTGTGTCCAGTGGCACCTTTAAGGCCAACAAAGTTTTATTCTGGGTAGAAGCTTTTGTGTGCAAGCACACTTCCTCGGATCTCTGAAGAATCTGGACTAAAACTTTGTTCTGCTGCTTCAGGCCAACACGACTCCCTCCCTGAATCTATCGAAATAAGACGTTTTGGTTCCGATTGGATCAGCATGGCCAATCAAGAGGACTCAAAACTATACTTTTTGCTTGGTTTACTGTATGTAATCCCCGTTCCCCACTGATGAATCAGTAAAACTGGGCATGCGTTCTTTCACAAAATTTCTAAGGGATAATGACCTGGAAGATAACTTTAATACTGCCTAGCTCCTGTACCATGTGTTGAAAATGGCTTCCCTGCATTGTTATTAATTTTATGAAACAAGTGGAAAATTTTCTGCCTACTTTTCTGACAAGGAGCTGTTATTTGTGCCATTTTTTGAAAGGCCCTCAAGTCACAGCTGACTTATGGTGACCACTGTTCCCTCTAAGCTGAGTTAATGTGAGCTAGCTCACAGTTTTTTAGCTTCTAGCTCAGACATTTTTCTCTAAGCTCAGGGAGGATGGCTCCAGAGTGAACTAATTTATGCAGTAGCCAAATCCCTCACTCACAACTTTCTTGCCAGTAGCTCACAAAGTAGAATTTTTGCTCACAAGACTACACAGCTTAGAGGGAACATTGACGGTGACCCAGTAGAGTTTGCCGTGCAAGAGACAAACAGGGGTGGTCTGCCCTTGCCAGCCTCTGCATAGCTACCTGTCTTCTCTGGTGGTCAGTTTGGTGTAGTGGTTAAGTGCGCGGACTCTAATCTGGGAGAACCGGGTTTGATTCCCCACTCCTCCACTTGCACCTGGCTGGATGACCTTGGGCAAGCCGTAGTTCTGACAAGAGCTGTCCTTGGAAAAGAGCAGTTTCCGTCAAGAGCTCTCTCAGCCCCACCCACCTCACAGGGTGTCTGTGGTGGGGAGGGGAAGGGAAAGGAGTTTGTAAGCTGCTCTGAGACTCCGAGTGAGGGGAGGGGTATAAATCCAATCCTCCTCCTTCTCCTTTCATCCAAATCCCAACCACTACTGGTCCTGCTTCGCTTCTGAGATCTGATGAAACTGGGCTAGCCTGCACCATTTCAGGACAGGACGTAGTATGCTTAGCTGGATTCAAAGAGCCAGTTTGGTGTAGTGGCTAAGTGTGCGGACTCTAATCTGGGAGAACCGGGTTTGATTCAGCCACTCCTCCACTTGCACCTGCTGATGTGACCTTGGGTCAGCCACAAGCTCTGGCACAGCTGTCCTTGAAAAAGAGCAGTTTGTGTCAGAGTTCTTTCAGCCCCACCCACCTCACAGGGTGTCTGTTGTGGGGAGGGGAAGGAAAAGGAGTTTGTAAGCCGCTCTGAGACTCCAAGTGAAGGGCGGGGTATAAATCCAATCTCTTCCTCTTCTTCTTCTTCTTTTTCTTGTTGCTTTGCTTTGCGTGGTACTGAAAAGCCTAAACTGAGCTAATGAGAAGTTTCCTTTAGAAGCTGGATCACAGGAGATTCTTGGATGAAGTCGGTCCAATAAAGGAACCACAACTGTTTGAAAGGAAGGACTCTGTATGTGTTTATGAACAAGAATTTTGTTGAAATGAGATGCTTATTAGGATTACCATGAAGCAATTGAACTTATGATAGGTATTTTGCCTATTTCTCAGACATGTATAGTACATATGCTGTGATCACTCCCTGAAAGATACTGGGACAGTCCCTGGGTTGGCTAGCCTACCTCACAGGGCTGTCATGATGAAACTAAAATGGAGAATCACGTATACCACCCTGAGCTTTTAGAAGACAAGATAAGAACATAAAAATATTATGAATTTCAGTTTTGGTATTTTGCTGCCCTTGTTCATATTTTTACGTACTTATTTCATGAAAATGATTCTACCCGCCTATGTTTCTTCTAAGAAGTGTCATTTATTCAAGGAAGTCTACATAGCACATAGGCTTTTGGACAAAATAATATAGCCATAATTGAAATACATGAGAAAAGAACAGTCACTGCTTTAGTAATACATAATTTAAAAGGTTGGATTTAAATTAAAATCCACAGGATGGCTACATATTTAACGAGGCACTGAATTAATAGCAGCATCTTGAATGTCTAGTGCAGCTGATCTTATAAGAACTCTGGGACACCTTCTTCTCCCTTTTGGCTTGTCTGACTCAGAGTGAAGCAGCTTCCCGTGTGCAGTTTCTGTTCCTAAAGAAATCTCATTAACAAACAGGAAAAAACAGTACCTAGGCAGATATAGAAATACAAATTAAGTAACTATTGGCAGGGGAATTCTTACCGGAGAGTAGGGCATAAAACAGCTCATCTAGTTTGGCCTCAGCTACAAGTGGCTACTAAAACAGGGCAGCTGAATGCCAGTTCTAGAGTGGAGGGTGATCCCTGAGGTAGGCCTGCCAACCTCCAGGTGTGGCCCAAAGATCTCCCAGAATTACAACTGGTCTCCAGATGACAAAGATCAGTTCCTTAGAGAAAATGGCTGTTTCTGAGGGTGGACTTCAGTGTTCCCTCTAAGCTGAGTTAGTGTGAGCTAGCTCACAGTTTTTTAGCCTCCAGCTCACACATTTTCGTCTTAGCTCAGGAAGGATGGCTCCAGAGCAAACCAATTTGTGCAGTAGCCAAATCGCTCGCTCACAACTTTAATGCCAGTAGCTCACGAAGTAGGATTTTTGCTCACAAGACTCCACAGCTTAGAGGGAACATTGGACTTTATGTAGGGTTACCAGATGTCCTCTTTTGAGAGGACATGTCCTCTTTTTTTGGTGTCCACCCTCCAAAACTTTTTTGGGTGTTTGGTGTAGTGGTTAGGAGCGTGGACTCTGATCTGGGAGAACCAGGTTTGATTCTCCACTCTTCCACATGCAGCTGCTGGTGTGACCTTGGGTCAGTCATGGCTCTCTCAGAGTTGTTCTCTCAAGAGCAGTCCTCGAAAGAGCTCTTTCAGCCCCACCAACCTCACAGGATGGCTGTTGTGGGGAGGGGAAGGGGAAGGAGACTGTAAGCCGCTCTGAGACTCCTTCATGTAGTGAAGGGCAAGGTATAAATCCAATTTCTTTTCTTCTTCTCCTTTTTAAAAATTAAATAGTAGGGGCATTGAACATGAGATTTAAATAGTAGGGGCATTGAACATGAGATTTAAATAGTAGGGGCATTGAACATGAGATTTGTCCTAGTGATCGCTTGTTCGATGTAGTTAGTTGGGAAATATGCCCTCTTTTTTGCTTTTATGGCATTACACCCTGCCGAGTTCCCTCCCCACAACCCCCCCCCCGGATTTTCCCACCCTGGAGTTGGCAACCCTGTTCTGGGGTCAGCTCCTCCCCACTCTGGATCGCAAAGCCCCTGCCTATCCTAAAAGCCAAGAATAAAGGCGAAGCGTTACTTTTTATGCGGACCGACCAAAAAAGAAACGCTACCTAATTTAATTTTTGAAAAATTACCAAAGCACTGCCCGTGGTTACTACATTCAGTCCCCGAAGTTACC